TCCCCCTCCGGCATCCCCCTCGGATATCCCCGTGTGTGTCCCCTTAACACCCCCCGCCCCTGGTCCCTTAGACCTCTCCCCTCAGACACCCTGGAAACGGGCAGCCCCCTGTCCCTCCAAATATCCCTCTCTGCCCCCAGACACCCCCATCTGCACCCTGCGGCAGTGGCCTCAGCCCCAGGGGCAGCACAGGGCTCCCTGGAAGCATTTCCCCCAGCCCTGGGTGACCCAAAGGCAACAGAGAGCAGGGCACAGCCTCCTCGGGTAAACCTCTGCACCGCTCCAGGCCGCGGTGTCCCAGCTCTCGCTGGGCAATGCTTCTCGGCCATGGGCATAACAGAAATGCCTCTGACAGCCTTTAGGTAGTCCTGGCAGTGAAATCCCTGTGGTTACCTACCAAATGTCGCAGGGAAGCTATGAAAAGTGCCTGAGCAATAGTGCGGCCTACCAGTATTCATCCCTTTTCTACCCCAGACTGCCTTCTGTGGAGCAAGCCTGCGGGGTAGAGGAACAGCAGTTCACTTCGCTTTAGCATGTCACGCCAGGGACTCAAAATGCCTTACAATGTCATTATTTCTGCCATCCGGGCTTCCTTAGGCGGCCTGTCCCCATTCTTCAGGTGCATGACGAAGGGGTTCAGGTACCCAACCCACAGATAACCACCACGGTCATAAAAAGAGTAGGGAGATCTTAATTTCAGCATTTCTGCCCTCCCCACGCAACAGTCTGACCCTTTTTAAAAGAAATGCGTCAAAATGGCTTCCAATATTTCAACACGAATGTTTGATTTGTGAGCAACTTTTGACTCAGCTGGCTAGGGCCAGCAGTCAGCTAAAGAAAGGACACACCTCAGAAGTGAAGATACGGGCAGGTGCAAACTACTGAGGTCAAAAAAACCCGGTTTTTCTTACAAACCCTTGGCAAGTCCTTCACCTGACCTCTGCCCTGAACCACCTCACCCTGCGTGAGTGTGGTTAAAAACTGCATGTCCTCCTATCTGAGGAAATTTAATGTACAGCATAGTCAGAGTACCATTTCAGCATGTTTTCAAATAAGCACAATTGCATCTTTGCCGGCAACGATTATCACACAGCGTGCTCTTCCCAGGCAAGAGGGCTGTTCCATGAAGTGCAAACTGAGGGTGTGCAGTGCGTTGCAAAAGATGTCCGGCAGCTCATTCGACATCAGATGACAGATGCGGGCTGTGGTTTTGGGGTCTGGGGACCATGGTCTGGGAATCCCTACCTCCCGTTCCCAAAGCAGGAACAATGCTCTTAATTTTTGGGTTTGTCTCGGTCAGTTTATATGTTCCAGGGGAAACAAAGATAAACGGCAACATTCAGAATGCTTCAAAATACAGTATTGTATTAATATCAAACAAGGACCACACATTCCACTGTAGACTTAGCCACATCCAAGTGCCACCTCTTTATGGCAGAAATTACAATCCCAGGGTGTAATTTCATGTGAAAATCTGCCTCCGTTTAGGTCAATAAGCCAGCTGGATTTCGGAGAGAGGACAGGACAGGCAATACGACCCCCAGAGATTCCCTCCTGCCCCAAGGGGATTCTGTGAGCCCTGGCACCCCCACAATGCTCGTGCTGCTGCAGGTAGGCCAAAGGAAAACCCGATGACTTTGCGATTCATTATCGGGCAAATTCAGTACATCGAAACACGCTACAATCCCGCGCAGCATTAAGTTTCTGTATGGCACATAGGGGGTTTCAGCTATAATGCCTTACGTGGCAACATTGACGGTCGTCTGCTTCTCTCACGTTTTTAAATGCTGAAACTGCATTTTCTACTTTTCTGGCTCTGTCCTTCAGACCAAGTCAGCATGCCAGGTCAGTGCATTTCTAAGAAAATTACGCTGCCATTTTTAGGACACTTTTAAAATCAAGTGTTTTACTGTGCAGCGAAGACATAATTAAAAAGCACTTAATGACGTTTGCAGTTTTCCTTTTGGCTGTATTAGTAAAAGCAGGCATGAAATTGGTCTCGGGGCACTTTTTAATAGACGCTGTCAGACTCAGTCGGCCACGTAAATCAAACTAAAAAAAATATTGCTGATCTTTCTGGTACATTCATGTTGGGACATGAATAACCTTGGTTCTCTGTTCCCACCCATCGCTTCCTTCTACCCACAGAATGTTTTATTTTAGTGGCAAGTTAAATGTCTGTTACTGCAGCAGTCGGTAGGAAATACTTGGCCTGGGTGGCCGTCAGGAGAAATGGTTACGTAATGTGTACATTTTATGTCTCACATTAATATTGGTCTATTCATGTTGGCTAAGGGTCACATGAAGTGCTCGCTTCAGACACTGCTGATACAAGGGACTGGCAGTGCGCTGCAGTCTTACGTAAGAGTCGAACCGCTCGGTTGCTCCAGGAAAGGCACAGTGAATGCACCCGTGGCCTCACGGCTGTCATTTTGGTTTATCCATTATACGGTAGAGCTTAAAGAATTACTCTGAAGGGGCCCTCAAGCTGACAAAGTGCTTTGGTCCTGAACTGAAGTTTCCAGCTTTTGCAGTGCAGCTCGGTCAACGCAGAACGTTCCAGCTGAAAAAAGTTCAAAAATTAAGATCACAATACTTAGTATGTATGTTATCAGGAATACAAGAAAAGAAACAAAATGTTGTTTTGAAATGTAAATAATACAGTATGTAAACACTAAGCTCTGTAAACATCCTCTCCACATTCTAGATTAAACAGATAGCATCCATCAATTTTATAACTGCATACTTGTTTGTGCATTAAGGTAAGGGATTTGATTTGTGAACAAGCAATACCTGGAAGACTAATGATATAAATGTAGTGAAACATTTAAGTACAAATATCTGATCGAACCTGTGGTATGTACTTGGTAATTATTCTCTACAAAAAATGCAACGCGTGAAGGAATGACAGCAACTATGAGATTACTATACAGCGGTCCTGAGAGTCACCGTAATTCTGGAGCTGGGATAGTACGACTCAGCAGCCTTGTTACTGCTGGACTGCGGAGGGAATAACAAATTCGGCCCTCTGCTGCCTTCAGCGCCCTTATGGTGCTCGGATATGTGTCATTCCTGCTACAATGCTCATACGCTTTAGTAATAACGTCTCAGAAATAAATTATTTGTGGAGAACCCGCTCCACAGATCTCAACAGTGTTTATGGTGTGGACACCGTCTGCAAGGCGGGTCATGCTACTTAAATTTCTCCATGCAAACTATGCTCTCCTTTCCGTTTTCCAGAGTTGGTGGGCTCGCTCAGGCTAAGCACGCTATCTCCTGCTGAATGCCAAGATGGCTGCAGATGAGCAATTGTGTAACAGGCTCATCTTTCATAGAAAATGGTGGAAGCCCCACTGCTCGAGTAACTTAAAGCTAAATGAATAATTTTGGGAAATACCTCAACAGAATATAAGGTCAATTTTCCTTGATGACAGATTACACAGAGTGATAAGTAACGTTTCCCAATAGAAGATAAGCATTTGTTTTAGTATCAACTCAGAAGATTTTTCTTTTTCCTCTGATCAAACTAAAGAATAGCTGGTATTAATTAGTCTTAACAATAACCTGTTTAACGTTAGGTATTGAAAGAGGCATCTTCCAAGGTAGATAAATCTAACTTCTTGGTCAACAGCAGTATGGAGGGGCATCTCCTGAGTCTCTTTATTTTTACTTATGGTAATAAATTTCCTCTCATAAGTAGACTTCATTCAACACCAGTTCTGTCGAGTGAATAAATGCAAATTCTATTGTCCTAGGTTGATTTTTTTCTTTTTTCCTGATCATAGGTGCAGAGGCTTTGATCCCTCACGTTTGCTGAGGAAGCTCTGAGACTCCTGGAAAACGTCAGTGCCAACAGATGCCCAACAAAATGGTGCCCTCTAAAGGTAATTCGCACACACTGACAAGCTACGAGTCAAACAGCAGTGGGATATTTTTTACTGTACTTGGGAAGCAAATATATTGAAGGAAAAATGGGTGGAAGATGTGCATCTCTTAAAGAGACTCTTCCTTGCACCCTGCTTGGTTCAGGAGAGAGGAACGCACATAACATTCCCTCGGTCCGTAAGATTCAGGGATCTGCTTATTCAATTAAACTTAAAACATGAAAGCCAATCTAGATAAAGATAAGCGTTCAAGATGAATTCCTACAGTTATCTTAATTTTTTGCTCCTATAAAATTTGCTTGCTTATTTAAATAAGGTTTTGAAGAGAAACCTGATATGTAGACTATGAAAAACTGGAATGTGAACCACTTGAGCACTGAGGTCAACATTCCTTCGAAAATATGTATAATAGGTGATTTACCTTGAAAATTCAAGAGTTGAGAGTGCTGTTGTCGAGAGACTGTGCTGTTATCAAGGTAATAGTCTGTCATATGGAAGTTTGTTACAAGAAATAGTTTATAAAAGCAAAAGCCAGCAACAACGAGATGACCTAAAATAGCTTGTTAACATTTTCAAAACGGTGGTAAGAAACATTCAAGGCTTCTGAGAAATTAATGGGTTGGCAGTACTACAAGGTGAAAGACTTCTGTTGAAAAACCCATGACTGTATTTTGTGTGATAGTTTGCAATGGCTTGAGATCGCCACTCTTACTTGGCAATCCCAAGACTAGAACTACAGGATGCCGGACAGAAGAGGAAAATCTTCCCTGTCGTGGCTGCCACCGTCTTCCTTGACACTGGGGTCCACATGCCAGGAAGGCCTGGCACGTCCTCTTTCTGAACAACTGCTCGCATACCTGCCTGCTTACCCTGGATCTGAGCCTCCACAGTCTCCCTTGGCTTCCTCCACTGTTCGTTTTTTTTGGGGAGCTTGTCTTTTTTCTTCTTGTTCATTTTGCTTCACCCTAAAAATTTTTCTTCTGGGTTCAGCATGACCTACCTTCCCCATGGGTGCACTTAGAAGCCGGTGCTGCCTCTTTCCCCCTTATCCCTTAGACAGATGCAGCAGCAACAGCAGGACTGTTTTTCTGGATCATCTGAAAGTCCTATGTTCCTTGCAAACAGGTTCAGCCAGTACCGCCTCTGGCATCTAAGACTGTCAAGCTAGGATGGGAGCGAGGGGGAGAAAATCAGCTCTCTTATAAAAAAGTCTGCAGGGAAGGGGTGTAAAAGGGTTGTTGTGCTTAAGTCTGACTTAAAACTTTACATTGCAAACATACTGTGTTTTTTTTTTCCTTCCTGTTTTGTTTGATTAAAAAAATACAAAAATGTTAGTGGTGATAAAAACTCTAAATGAGCATAAGCCAGTAATAACGCGTTGTGAATCCCTGAACCACGCTTCCCCGTTCAACGCTGCCTCGGCTAACGAGCATTTCATTTACAACCCGTTTCTTGCAGAGCCCGCACGCCCTCTGCTCGGCACAACAGGACAGGAGACAACCCCGCTGCTCTCCCCGCCGCCTCCCCCCTCGCTGGGGGCATCCTTTCGCCTCCTTTCACGCCTCGAGC